GGTTATAAAATAGAAATTCAGAATTTTCATATGCATTAGTTAATGAATTTTACCGGATTATGGCTGACCTATTTTGTTCAACCCTAAATTTTGTGGGTCCATTCTTTTTGGTAAACGATATTCATTGTTTCGCAAGGACCTTGTAAGCTACAAATAATGATATAACTAATGCTTTGCAGTACATTACATTTTGTAAAGTATATATTATATTACATTATAGTGTTTTACACGCATTTTATCCCTCAAAATAAAATTTGTGTCATGTGGCATTTGTATTCCTAATTAGGATAAAATGGTTTCAATGAAATGTAATGGTGTCTAGCTTAGCCAAAAGCTAGCTATTTTAAGTCCACAACTTGTACATTGTGTTTAATTAAGCTACAATATCTTAATTTGTATTAAGTTCTTAGGACAAGATATAAGTTTCATTTATTTCCATTGATCGATCACAAGCTTGTAATAAAGTCGTATTAATTTATTGTCACGATTCAATTTTATTTATTTATAATTTAAGTAGATTTGAATATGAAGGACGGAAAGTGTTCGCCTTTTAAGGTTTTACTTCACGTTCAAAATTAATATTCACATTTTATACTTTTTTTAAAAAATTAATTGTTATCATACACATAAATAAAGAAAAATCTATCAATTTCGCAATTTCAAATCAATCAATTTATTCAACCTATCTATTAAAACAATAGTAATGCAAGTTGATGTTCCTGATATGAAAGTGTAATAGCTTGTTAAAGTAAATCTCCGCCAAGTGTCATTGATGATGAAGTAATAATATTTAATAAAATGAACCAATTAAGTAACAAAAAAAGATTTCGTAGTGAAGTGGAAAAAGACTTAAATAAGGAAAATTAGAAGAAAAAAAAATTAATAATAGTGTCAAACATATAATTGGAAGTATGACTGGTTTAAAAGGGACGTTTCATAAGTGAAATGAAAATTCATTCACATGCTTTGGTCTCCCAATATTTACACCAAAAGTCCGTCCAACTATGTACACTTTTTCGACCTTATCTCTCAACTATGCCTTCTTTTGAACGTGGTGTTTAGGTCAGCATACATGTATCACAACTAAATTAACGAAAAATATGATATCTTTTTATATTAATACAGGTATCAAATAATTTTATTTATCATGACTTGGAAGATATCACTTGTTATTTTTTCTTCTGTTGAAATTTGAACTTAAAATCTCATGATTCTGGTCATTTAACCCACTTCATTAACCAGTAGGTTGTTGAGTGTGTGCAAACAAATTAAGTATCACATGGAAAGTGTAAAAGAGATCTTCGATATGTGTTATCTGAGCCGAGAATCTTTCGAAAACAATCTCTCTACCTTGTTAGATGAGAAGTTAGGGATAAGGTATGTACACTCTACCCTCCTGGACTCCACTTGTGAAATTTCACTGGATATATTATTGTTGTTGCTGATAAGTAAAAAAAAAGCTACTTATAAAATGTTGAAAAAATCTAAGTGGTGTAAGGCCTAAAGGGAAAATCGTACATAGTACTTGACCTAAAAGCGAACAATATTGATCATATTATGTTAAGAATATATTTGGACGGTTATAACTAGCCAAACAAAAGCCACACCCTTAGATGTTATCTCTAAACTATGACTTCTCACTCAAACACTATATAAGCTAGGTATAACATACCTAAAAAAAGCACACCAAAGTTAGAAAACCCTACTAAAAAAAGACCAACAAATCCCCTAGTGTCAAAAAAACAATTTTATTGTTTATTCACACAAAATGGCAAAATTAGCTAAAATAAGCAATGGGAAGAAAAAGATGATGTACAAGATAGTGAATTTGAAAATTGTGGTGGAGAAATTACAAAGGAGCCTTTCAATGGTTAGGAGATTGGGAGCCGAATTCGATAGTCAGCATCAGCATAGCCAATCAGATCAAAATGACTCCTCGAATAACGTGCCTGAGGACGTTAAAGAAGGTCATTTTGCTGTTATTGCTGTTGATGAAGATGAATTGAAGAGATTTGTTGTGCCATTGAAATGTTTAACACATCCTTCATTCTTAAAACTATTGGAACAAGCTGCTGAGGAGTATGGCTTTGATCATGATGGTGCACTTACAGTACCATGCAGGCCAAGTGAATTTGAGAGAATTTTGAGACATGAACAATCAAGTATGTTGATAAGTTGTTAAACATAATGGAGCAAAAAAAATAATTAAAAAGCTAACAATTTTAGCTTAATTTGCTTCCCATCTATAAGTTGATTTTATCATGTTATCCCTAAATTATATATTATGAAGCCCAAGTGTTGTAGCATGGTAAGAATTCCTGATTTGATCGGAGTAATACGATTTTTAATTCGAGAAGTGGATTGAAGTGATTGCAGTGAAGAATTGACCTGAGACGAAGTACTAATGAAACATGAGTCAAATGGTTCTTCTTGAATCGCTCTATTTCTTATTTTTGACAGTTATACGAGGATCAGAATAGAGGGATAATCGATCATCCCTTAGGATGGTAGATTCTATTTCTTGATTATCCCACCAAGTCACAACTTTGGTTAATTAATGATATATAATTACTTTTTTTCTTCACCATGGTTGAGTTGTTGCATGCATTACATGTACATATTTTAAAAATATATGTTGTTAAACTATTTGAGTATATAATGAAGATTTACTTTATTTTACTGAGTGATTTACTTCATCCTATTTTTACTTTTTTTTTTAAAAATAATTTAATTTACTCTTGTTTATGTATAAGTGTGTAGTAAAAATTGACATTTATCATGACCAAGAAAAGGAGATAGAGTAAGAACTCTCTTATTTATGTAAATGCATATATGAGTAGGATCAAGTTTAGGAATGAAGAAACTGTTATAAAAAGAGAAAAGACTAAAATATATCGTTCATTAATAGTCGATTCTGAATATGCTTCGATCATTACCATTTTAGACCATATGTGTCATTATCCACTAACAAAATCTTACATTATCCTCTTCTCTCTCGTTGTTTTTACAAATAATATATGTTAGCTATTTTGTTAAATTCAACGACATATTTGAGCTTTTTCTCAAGCCACCATTGATCACGTCAATAATTAAAACACCATGAACACACTTGTGGTGATTTGGAAGAAGATGAAGATTAACTAAAAATATATATTTAGTTGGATCAATGAACTTCAAATTCCTAGTGGTTAAACAAAAAAGACGTTCACATGGAATATTGCATTTGATGTGAATAATTAAACAAGGATGTATATTTTATGTGATATATTTATCTACTTAATGAACACTTATAAACATACACAAAAATAACATTTTCAAAATATGAACCATAAGAGTCTAATAAAAACATTTAATAATATTTTAAAATGTTTAATCAAAACAAATTGCAATTCAAGTATTTAAAATGTTTAATCAAAATAAATAATGTAGAAGGATGCTAAAGGTACAAACACCGTAATGTGTGGGGATCCCACTTGAATTTTGGCCCCCTTTTTACTTGTGAAGTCTAATTTGATTAGATAGGTCACTTGTCTATCAATTATTATAAAATGACTTGATTTTATCACACGTTGTCTTGTTCCGACTTTCAAGTACTTACTAGTGTGTGAGCCAAATGAGAAAAGAGAGAAGAAAAGGTGGAGATGTTTCAAAGTGTTTTATAATGGTAAGGTGCAAATAAGGTGAAATTAGAATTTTAAACTTTTGAGAATATTTATATAGATTAAGTATTTTTTTTTACATAAATATAAAGTCTGAATTAAAATTATTAACTCTATTAATTTTATTAGCGAAATTGTGCCTTATGTACACACACCTTGATTATCCTACTAGGTATTTGTTACTTCCCTACTTATGTGCTCAACCAAGTAATGACAAAGTGGCTTCCCTCTAATACTGGTTCCTCTAGGGTGACTCTGCCCCTACAACATTTCTCTGCTGCCTAATTCTGACCATCAAAATTCAGGTGAGTGAGAAGAAATCACTTGATATGTTTAATTTTTTTTGGAATTTGGACTTATAATATCATAATTATCCTCTTATTTTATTGACCATCAACCACACCCTTGGATCTTCTTTCTTCCTTTTTGTTCAAGAAGTACATCCAATAACCTTGGAAGTGGACATTCTTAAACTCTTGACTCTTGTCATGGGCAAACAGTCAAAGTTAAAAGGAAAAAATTATTAAATTTGAAAGTTGACCAATGAATTAAGCAACATCAAAAGTTCAAGACCAGTCACCTCCAAAATCTTACGCCTCTAAGGTCTTTCTTGTAAATCACCCCCTTTATACAGGCCAAGAAGGTTTCTCCCTCTGTGAATCGGGTGATAGTTGGGATCGATTGTTCTCTCAGATTCCTTCATTCGGAATTTTTAGGGAAGAAGTACCTTCTTCTCAATTTCTTCCTTCATAACCAGAGCTTGGAGAAGTAAGAGATAAGAAGGTCCTATGGAGAATGTGGTCAGAAATTCATAATAAAATTCAACCACAACAATCGAAATGATTATCTTCAAGCATAAGGATCCTAAATTACCAAGTATAAAAAGATTAAAAAATAATCACAAACCTCACCTAGCACTGAAAGAGATAGACTGGAAATAACGTATATTAAATGAATGAAATTGGAATATGAATGGAATACAATGAAATAAAGCCACTTGAAGGTTTAAATTGATTGTTGTATATAAGCATTATCTACCTGATCAATTCTTTAAACGATATACGACAAATAAATATCAAAAAGGGAAAATCTATGAAGAGATTCCATCATCTCAACTCGTAGTCATTGGAATTACGAAATTAACCCAAGTACGCCTTCGATATTTTAAAAAAAAACATATTTAAACATTATAATAAATAATATTTACCGGTCAAACAAGGTTGTCTCCTTCTCCCTTACCTCAATTATATCAATATTATATAGAGAACAACATTTTCTACCATTAAAATAGAAACATATATACTGGAGAGACAAAGATGATTAAAAAATCCATAATAGCTTTCAGAATTCCAAAATTCGAAGTACATCATAGCAATGATATAGAATAGAAATGACATAAGGAATAAGCTGTAATGTATGCTCTCCAAAACCTAGGGTAATATGTAATTAGAGTAAAATGGACGACAAAAATAGTGGACTAAGCCCGAACAATAACCAGAGTTCAAACAGTCGGTGACCATGGTTCGATCACTTACTCTCTCTCTAGCACCAGGTGTGGTCTTAGCTAACGTCACTTAGGTCTTACTGGTGATCAAGAAGCCTTTACTTTCTCCCCTCAGCTACCGTGATGGGAGCCTGCTGATGTTTCACCATTACGCCTTGGCACTGAACCACCAAGAGGAAATAGTGATACCATCACACTTTCTAATATAACACAGAGATCTTACTTTTAATCACCCAATCCAGCCCTTTTCTTCAAGTGTTTCTTGAACTCCATGATGCCACCCTCCCATCGTGTCACAGCCTGATTTTCACATACCCATATCTCATGGGCCACCTGATTTATGAGCCTAAAGTCGTGACTCACTAGAACCATCCCACCATCCCATGCGTTCAAGGCCTCTGCAAGTGAGTCAATGGTCTCAATATCAAGATGGTTGGTTGGCTCATCCAACAGCAGCATGTGGGGTTGTCTAAAAGCCAACCATGCAAAGATCACCCGACTACGTTGACCATCTGACAAGTTCTTCATAGCCATTACTTGAGCTTTACCTGTGAGTCCAAACCTCCCAATTGCTGCCCTCATCTTCTCCTCCTCATTCCCAGGGTACTCTCTCATCATGTACAAAAGAGCTGACACCTCCATGTCTAGCTTCTCAGTCAAGTGCTGGTGGTACTGTGCAATTTTTAGGTGATTATGCCGCTTAACCATGCCATCAGTGGGAAATAACTCCCCTATCATCAGCTTAAGCAGTGTGCTCTTTCCAGCTCCATTAGGCCCTACAAGTGCTACCCTGGAGTCGAGATCTACACCAAAATCAAGGTTCTTGTAGATGAGGTTATCAGGTGTGTAGCCAAAAGCAACTTCAGAAAACTGTAGAACTGGAGGAGGAAGTTTGCCGACATCAGTAAACCGGAAAACCAGGACGCTGTCCCTCCCCACCTTCTCAGTAAGCCCACCACGCTCCATCTTAGCCAATGTCTTCTCTTTACTCTGTGCTTGACGGGCTAGTTTAGCTGAACCGTGCCCAAAGCGAGCAATGTATTCCTTCATTGCAGAAATCTGCTCCTGCTCCCACTTGTACTGTTTCATCTGGTTCTCTTCCAGCTCTGAACGGGTTTGCACATATTGGTCGTAGTTACCTGTATAGAGTTTCAACTTCTTGTTTTGCATGTGGATGATATTGGTACACACACCATTGAGAAAATCCTGTGAGTGTGAAATGACAACCAGAATACGCTCAAAGTTCTTCAAGGATTCTTCTAACCACACACAGGCTTCTAGGTCTGCATTCAAGAAGAATTACACATGTCAACTCTAAAAGACCCATAAATGAAGTGTTAAAAAATTCAGGGGATGAACTAATATTTTCCATCAATCCAAAAGTAAAGACTTCCCTTTTCATTTAAGAACAACTTTTTTTAATAAATTAACATCACAAAGAAACATAAAAACAGCCAGGAGAGTTGCTGCTGAAATAGAACTGCAACGATGCATAGAGGGGTGTACAGCAAAAGAAACTGAGTACTTAACCCAAAATAGCATGTTATTCAATTCATCACCTCCCCCCTGCACACACACACACGTATCCCGATTATGTGGTTCACATTTGGGACGTTATGTGTGCGAGGATGGAGTGGTGAAAGGATAGTTCGGATTGGTTGTGATGCAGTGTGTAAAATCTAGGCGTCAAACTATAACAGACAATGATGTAGCAACTCAAGACCTTCATGAACCATTTTGGATGCCCTATATATGCAATTTACGACACTACATAACTGATAACTCAATGTGTAAGACTACACATCATCCATATAAATCTAGCACGAGAAAACCCTAATAATTTCTGAAAGATCTATTCTACTAGAACTAGAAAATGAAAAGAGAAGATTACCAAGATGGTTTGTTGGCTCATCAAGCAACAAAATTGTTGGATTCATAAAGAGGGCACGGGCAAGAGCAATCCTCATTCTCCAGCCACCAGAAAAATCGCGTGTTTTCTTTGCTTGCATTTTCTTATCAAATCCAAGCCCAAACAAGATTTCAGCAGCACGCTTCTCAGCAGTGGCAGCATCCATAGCTTCTAAACGCTCATAGATCCGTTCAAGTTGCTCTCCACCACCATCATCCTATAATAGAGGAAGATAATATGATTATCTGAAAGGAAAACCAAGACCAAGGAACATTAATTTAATGTTAACAGCATCATACCTGTGCAGCCAAAGCTTCAGCTTCTTTCTCCAATTGCAACCTCTCTTCATCACAATTAATGACGGCCTCGAGAGAGGTCATGTCAGAGGCATCAATCTCCCGAGAAAGATGAAAAATATCCATGTGGTCTGGGATGGGAAGTTCCCTCAACCCTATAGCGGTAAGAAGAGTAGACTTCCCGCAGCCATTCAATCCCAACAAACCATAACGTCTGTGAAAATATGATGTCAGAACTTGAACATCAATTAAGCCAAGGTACACAGCAATACATGAAAATAACAAGTCTTACCTGCCATAGTTGAGCTCCAGTTCAGAATCAACGATTAGATCATGTCCGTGGAAAGTGACTGATAATGATTCTATCTGTATAACATAGAGCACCAAATCAAAACAATGATATTCCAAATAAAGGTAATCCAAAGGTTCTGCATCCTAATATTCAGCTTCTTTTATGACTCAATACTCTTTATAACAAGTAAAGTACTATTATATATATGCACTTCTCTTGACAGCAATATGCACCCTCTGTAATAAAACAAGGTTGGAACCTCAGAAATATCACAAATTTTGTAACCACATATAATGCAAAATTTGAGACGACAAAAAGACAAAAGCCATAATAACACTTGTATTCACGCAAGCTGACACAATTCAATATAACAAAAACATACGTAAATGTGTTAGCTAGTCGAGTGCTGTAGTTTTAGTTAGTATATGCATAGTATCTTATTCTACTAAGTTTCACTATTAAATGTTGTTTCGTTTCTTTTCTTTATCTTGTTATTTTGCAAGTCAGTTTTTCTTTAATCATGCTTTGATTACAACTATTTTGAGTTGAGAATTTATCGGAAACAGATAGGTGTACATCCCACCCTAACAGACCCACAAGTAGTATGTTGTTGTGTAGCTAAATTTGTCCAGTTATAGGATGAAATGTGTCCAAATAGAGCAAAATGGATACTGTACATGCATGTTTTTTTCTAAACTTAAGCATTTCGCTTAAGAAAGATACTCGTCCACTCAACTTTTGTGTAGCACTATAAATACGCAACCAGCAACTAAACCAAAAAATTCACATAAACACCATCAAATATCTTAAATCTAATCAATCAAAATGAGTACATATCAAGAAAAAACTATTACAATAACGAATCTAAAACCATTAAAATACGGAGAAAATCAGATCTAAAACACCAAAACTTACCCGAATATCCCTCGATAGCGGATGTGAACACAAAACACCCGTACAAGTCCGATCAGATATCTGTAGATCCCCTACTCCATTCGTCAAATTATCAACCCCGTTACTTTCCCCCGCCGATTTAGACGCCGTCGCAGCCGATTTAGACGCTGCCGCACCTTTACCTCCTCTCCTAGCAGCTGCTGCCGCCTTCTTCTGCGCATCTCTCTTCTTCGCCGCATCCGACACCATCTAACACGAATTACAACTCAAAAAAATCAGAAAAAATTACAAAAAATCGGAAATCGAAACTGAATCAGCAATACAATACCTTTGAATTCGTAAGATCTACGGATTTGGAGAAATTGTTAAAGGTTATAGAAGAGAGGAACGAGGGTTTTTTGAAAGAGGGGTTGAGAAAATGTTGGAGGTAAAGTATATATAGTATGTGAGGGTGCACGTTGACGGTTCAATGGAGGTGCAAAGATAGATATGGACGGTGATCCTTTGTTCAAGTTTGGCAACAAAAATGAAAATCTAGTGTTGATTTTTTTAGTGGACGGTGGGTTTTGGTTTTGGGCTGACCTAATTTTACTTTTGTTTTTTTTGGGCCTTGAGCCCATTAGAAAAGGAAATGATAATAATATGGGGAAACCACAAAATTAGTGGTGTTGATAGAATAGGATATAGGGAAAAGGGTCAAATATATCCTTATATACTTTGATTTAATGTTTAATTTTGTTCTTCGTTATGTTATTTGGTTAATTTCACCTTCGTTGTTAAAATTATTGTATCAAACATCCCTTACATATAATGATTTCTACCTGTCTGACTTGAATTTATTGATTTCAAATGGATCCACGACTAAATCGAGATGTGGCCCCACCTTGATCCACAAATTCAAATGTAATTAAATTTTGGTCCACTGAGAACTTGCATGTCTAGAAGATGGATGTAGCGGAAATGAGTATGTTAAGATGGATGTGTGAGCATACGATGAGAGATAGGAATAGGAACGATGATATTCGACACAAGATGGGAGTGGTCTCATTGGTGTAAAAGTAGAGAAAATCGTTGCTCAAATAGTTCAAACATGTGAAAAGGATATGCACATATGCTCTAAGAAGAAAGAGGTGTAACAGGTTGGTGAAGAGAGGTAGAGGTTGTTCGAAAAAAGTATTTAATAGAATGATTAAACAAGACATGACGCAACTCCAACATATTGAGGACATGAGCTTAGATAGAAAAATTTAAATATGAAAATTAGGGTAAAAGGTAAGTAGATATTAAAAAAGTGTTAAGTTCCTTATTATTATTATTATTATTATTATTACTATAGTACTTCTACTATTTTATTATTTATTTATTTGTTACCTATTGTTACATTTTCTTTAGTTATTATATTGTTTATCATTCCTTTCTTCTTATTTTCAAAATAGTATTTTCTTTCCAAACCTAGTTTGATATATTTTACTTTAGTCGAGAATATTTCAAAAACAATATGTCTACTTCTATGGTTCTTCTGTGACAAAGATATGAGCTCTTATATTTCAGCTGATGGCTCAAAGTTATATCAATCTGCATTTGAGTATTTTTGTTAGTTATCAATTCTTCTCTAATGTCCTATAATGTTGATGTGTAGTAAAAGTTTTGGCAGTAAAGATGGAATCTTAATTCTCATATGGTGAGTTTTCAACTCTTTGGGAAATAGTTATATGCTTCAATTAATATACGAAATCGTTTCATTTATTAGAGAAACCGTTTGGGTGTGTACTGGCTAAACCTGCTTTTGTTCAATAGCTCGCAAACCAACACAAGAGATGTGGAGCTTAATAACTTACTCTCAAGGAACGTTGCCGACTAGCAATTTTAAAATCTTATGATAATCTGTCGATAATTCATCATTTTGTGACGGATTTTGTTGTTGAGTTATAGAATTTGTCCATCTAATTTTTCTTATTTATTTTAGAAGTATCGATTCATCATTATTGCAAGGTGGAGCTTCGTTTTATCTTCCTAATTACCATTGAGAATGTAGGAATTAATCATCGAGCTTCTTTAATTTCAAATTATTTAAATAATTAGTTTTATAACATTTCAAAATATTTTCAAGTTATTTTAAAAGTAGTTTTGTCATTTATTTTTAAATAATAAATATGTCTTTTATATATTTTATATTTATAAATATTCGAAAATCGTCTCAAAGAGATTTTGTTTCATTAAGTATTCGGTTAATTAGTTTAATTATTCAATAGTTTATATTTTTGAGTTTTTAGTTCATAATTAAGTTAATTATTTTATTTTTATTGAGATTAAGAAGATTGTTAATTCATTAATATTAATTCATCGTATTTAAATTCTAGCTGGATTCACTAAATTAACTCAATTCGGCTATGTGTTAGAATTTTTTATGTCTATAATTGCAATCCATTTAGCAAGCCATTCCCATTTCACTTTTAACCCTTTTCTACCCAATTTTTCATGTCATTCCCTTAAATCCTTGCCCAATTTTCTCAGTGTTAACAGCGTACATCAATACCCATACGCGTCTTCTTCTTCTTCAACGGGACGAACCCAGAAACGAAATCGTACCATTTCCAGCCTTAAATCTCATCTAGTTAAGGCTCTTTCTTCTTCAATGTTTAGGGTTTGAGACAGTGAAAGGAGAAAACAGAAAGTAGATTTTAGGGCGATAATTCTTATATATATAACTAAAATTTCTGATTTCATTGCTTTGGGGGTTCGAGATTATATCGATTTTTTTTGTTGCTGGTGGTAGAAAGCTTTGCTCGGGTCGAATTCTCAGTTCGCTGCTTCAAAAGAGGTATATAGTTTCTCTACCTTTAGATTTCCTCTGTTTTGTTTTGGAATTTAGAACGTTAGAAGCTGTTAAGTGAAATGGTGAAGTGATATTCTTGTTCTGAAAGCTAGCTGAATCTCTATCTTGTTTCGTTCGAGTTGTTTGATTTCAAGTTTGAATACATCGGCTATACATTTGTGTTTTCTTTACTGTTCACCCATGGCTTTGGGTTGTTTTACCTTTCTGTTCATGATTCTTTGTCTTACACTCTCATTGTGTATTAGCCTAATATTGTAGAATTTATATCTGTTCTTGCGTAGCTTGAGTGTTACTTAGGTCCTGTTTGGTTTCGACCCATGACAATATGATTATTGCTTAGCGTAACCTAGAGTCTTTAATGTGATTTACATCTTTAACATCAAAGTGTCCAGCTCCTCTGATTTGTTCGTTCCCTGTGATGCCTTGTCTTTGTTCTTGTTATTGTTTGGAATATTTGATTTCCTGATTGCTGGCTTCCTTTTGTATTCGCTCTCTCTAGTGTAGCATCGGCATTTGCAAACCTCTTTAAATAGTTTCGCTGCTCTTTTCTAGGTTAAATGCTTCATAAAAATTGAGTCCTTCCTCTCCTTATTTCGAAATATAGCTACTGCCTAGCAATCATGTTCATAACATGTGTCAATAATTCTAGTATTTCAATCTAGTTCGGACTTTTGACATACTTATTTTAGTCTTTTATGCACTTTTGTGTTTTAGCTTGCTACTTGCCTTTATTCGAATGCTATATTCGTAAGCATATCCTTACTGTGGGGTTGTCTGTCGCTTCCGGTGTATATCAACTTTTTAGAAAACAATTACATCTCCCTTATCATCTGTTACTGCCTCAATAAGATGCAGTAGTACTCTGACATTCCTCTTTATTAATTGTTAACCACTAAGTGTGTTGCTCTAAGTAGAATTTGGTTTTTCTTGTTTTTATGCTTGTTATATCAATTATGTTGGATACAAAGTGTTCCATCTTATTATTCGGAGTTAGGTCCTTCGTATTATTATCACTATTATAGGTCGAATTTCTTGTCAAGGCTATGCCTGTTTGCTTTGGTATCATTGACTCTTCTAAATGATACCCGAGATTCCATGATGAGCTATTAATTCGTATATTTTATTTTGTTTATGCATGAACTCCCTCGGATTGAGTCATTTGGACTCCACATGTTCTCCCTTGCATCTCAAAATAGGCCAAGGAGGCCCAGTTCTCTTTTATCGAGTCAACCAGATCAATAAAATTGAAAAACAGGTTCCCTAAAGGCGACATACAGGTGTTCGGAGCGGATTATAAGGCTAGATATGCACAATATACAGCGATATACATCAGTCGTATATGCTGTATATTGCATTGAAAATGGGCTAAAGAGCCTTAAAATTTCAGCTATTTGTATTTTGTAATTATTGGGCCAAAAACCCATTTATTTTGACTAGTACCTTGTTAGTTTAGGACAGGTACCAGGTGTTGGGCCAATGGCCCAAAAAGCAGAAATCAGGCCCAAGTACTGTTTTAATCATTTGAAAATTAGTTTAGTGGCGACTCTACTCTTTTCTTTCTAGTTAATAAAACAATTTTGCTAACAGAACTTCCTCCTGAACAGATTGGATTTTTGAAATATGACGTTGTTGAAGAGGTATGTGTTGAGATTGTTCATATCATTGAAGTACATCACCGCAAATGTGGTAGACAGAAACAACGGACGTATAGTAGCAACATCATCTACTGTTGAACATTCAGTGAAACAGTCACTTGAGTGTGGTAGAACTTGCAATGCAAAGGCTGCAGCGATTGTAGGAGAAGTGTTGGCAATGCGTCTCAAAGTGGAGGGTCTTGATCAGGGGCAAGGAAACGGGATCCATGTCAATGTAAATAAAGAGGTTGAGAAGAAAGGTTTCAAGAATCGTACAAAAGTTTGGGCTATAGTTAACGGCCTTAAGAGCAATGGAGTGAAACTTATTTTGGATGACAACGAAAATGACACTTCTCGCCCTAACTTCCACTAGAACAGTGCGCTGATCCTGTTATCTCACCCCAACAAGGTACAAATAATGAATTGTATCTCATCTCAGTAATTAGTTGTACTCAATATGTAGTTGGCTCTTAAAATATTATCATGATTTATTTTTTTTCCAGATCCGATAACTTCCTTACTTAGTCCAATATACGGACACATTGCCATAAATTTTGTATATTAGATAGATGTTATTTTCTTGGCTCAAGATTGACATATTTACTTAAATCTAATTAGTACAAGTTTGTTTGAAGGTGGGAACCATAGAAGAGGTAGGTTCTCTCTGAAAGATAGACTCAGATAGATAGGAATAGAGATTTTGCACTAGCTTCAATCTCAATCATTTGCTTTAGAATCCTTTTCGGAGGCACTCTTTTTACGTCATCTTAATTCGATTGAAGCATTATAAGTCAGAAGCGAGAAGGTCTTACACATTCTGCTATTATGGTAACGTTGGTATTTTTTCTCATAGCGCGGCTTCTTAGTGGCAGTGTAAGAAATAAGGCGTTGTTTATGACGAATTGGATAGTATAATTTGCATACTTTGCATTGTTAAATCCTTTCGAAGCTAGTATCCTTCGAGCAACTGAAAAAACGATAGGTTCTATTCGTGTGTCATCTATGATTCTTTGTTTTGCTCTTCTGCTCAGGTCTCTCACTACAAGAGTTGAAGAAGGTGC